CTCGGGTGAGTGCGGGGACCGGCTGGGAGGAACCGGGGGCTCGGGGGAGCCTGAGGGGCTCGGGTGAGTGCGGGGACCGGCTCGGAGGAACCGGGGGCTCGGGGGAGCCTGAGGGGCTCGGGTGAGTGCGGGGACCGGCTCGGAGGAACCGGGGCTGAGGGGACTGCGGGGCATCCTGAAGGCTGAGGGGGGCCCTGGGGGGAAGGATCCCGGGCCCGCCCAGGCCCTTCCATCCCGGCGCTGTCGCAGCCCCGGCCGCCCGGCTCGGAGGGCGCTGTACGGGCCGGGCTGCTCCCGTCCCTGCGGCCTCGGGGGTCGCGGTGATGGTGGTGATGGTGATGCTGGTGATGATGGTGATGCTGGTGCTGGTAATTGAGGCACCGAGCTGGGCGTGCCCCGCGCTGTGCGTTCGCACGACGGGGGCAGAGCTTTTCCTCTCGCCTCGTATTGCACCTATTAAAGTATCGAGGTGTTGATGCCCCTGTGAAGTCTGTACCTGTGGAACAGGTACCCCAAAGCCTTCTGTGCTGGCAGGTTTATGTGCCCTGCACCTCTCCCAAGCCTTCCAGCACTCGCTCATTTCCCAGCCCCTGGTGCCCTGCCTGCTCCTCTCTCATTTGTGAAATCATTTCTGTCTTGCTGAGCTGGAGACTTTCCCCTTCGCTGCCTCTGTTTATGCCGTTGTTGCTGCTGTTTGGGAGAAATGTGCTGACTGGTTGAATTTTAACAGCTATTTGCAGGAGGAGCTGTAAGTTAAAATGCAGCTAAATATAAAACTGTATTAAAATTCCCCGGAATGTTGCTCCTATTTTTATCTTACAAAGTGCTGAAAACTTGCAGGTTTTTAGTGGCCTAGATAGTACCAAGTTATTTGTGGGCAGGGCATGGGCTGTGTTCTGTAACCTTTCTGAAGGGAAGGACTTGGGATCCCTCATCTTGCCTTGGGTTGTGAGTGTCTCTGCTGTGCCGCGGGACAGTGGAAGCACTAAGGTGGGCAGATCTGCCTCTCTCCAAGGCTCTGTTATCCATAAACCGTGGAGGGCTGTAGATTTTCATTCCCAATGAGAAAAAGTAGATGCATATATCTCCATAAAACATGAATTTTGTTTGTGCAGCTTCTCAAACCCGCCTGAAAGCATTACAACCAGTAACTCTGAGGCTGGTTCTCTTTCCTTTGGGCTGGTTTCTGCTCGGAGGTGGGAGGGAAGGGTTGAGCTGCTTGTTCAGCTGTGTTTTTTTGGCAGGAGGATGGAGATTGCCATGGTGAACCTGCGGGGTCTGTACGAGCATCTCACGCGCCAGGCCGAGCTTCTGAGCGAAGGAAACGAATGCCGTGAGTTTTGTCCCTGAAGAATCTGCTGAAGATGCTAAAACCAGACTGATCTGGGCTCTTCCTTTGTGGAGAAACATCAAGTCCCAGCTGAATTTCCATGCAGGGTCACGTTCTGCTTGTAGCAAACTGGCTTTGTCCTGTGTTCCAGCTCTTCTGGGTGGTGCTGAAAGGAAGAAAAAAATGAGAAATGGAAGAGCTCATGGCCATCTCTTGTGTGGCTGGCTTCTCCATGCCTCAGTTGGGAGCAGGAGGAAGAATGTCTTCCTGGAAAAGCCAGTTGGGGATTGGAGGGGTCTGCCCAGGGAGGTTTGGACACATCCCTGGAGGTGTCCAAGGAATGGCTGGACGTGGTGCTGTGGGCTGGGTGACAAGGTGGGGATTGGGTCTTTTCCAACCTCAGGAATCCAGGGATTCTTTGTGAAGCTGCTGTTAGCTGCTCCTCTGCTTGCCCAGCTAAGGCTTCATGTGCTTTCTCCTCAGAGTTTATTCAGTTAGCCAAGAACTTTGAGGAGAACCGGAGGAAATGGCAGAAAATAGAGGAGGAGCTCAGCAGGTGCAAAGATCGCCTCATGAAGACAGAAGCTGAACGCAGTGCCCTGGACGTGAAACTGAAACATGCCCGCAATCAGGTGGACGTGGAGATCAAAAGGAGGCAAAAAGCTGAAATGGACTGTGAGAAGCTGGTGAGTAATTCCTGTGTTACCCCTCAGCTCTTGAGAGTGTGGAGACAAGGCGATTAAACTGCACTGATCAGTGGCAAATAAGGACTGGCACCCATGGGGAGGAAAGGAAAACTAAAAAGCAAGGAATTGGCTCGGCTCCTCGGAGCAGCCTGCTGCTTTGATCTGGGAAAGGAGACTGGCTGCTGATGGAACCTAGCTGCCATTACCTGTCTGCAGCCATTAGCAGTCCATTGACACAAGTTCTGAGAGCTTATCTCGGCTATCTCAAGCGCTGGGTCGGGTCTTACAGTAATTAAACACGGTGTATCCAGCTGCTGATATTATCTTTGTTTGAAGGAGAGGCAAATCCAGCTGATTCGGGAGCTGCTCATGTGTGATGCCTCCGGCAGCATCCAGCTCAGCGAGGAGCAGAAGTCTGTCCTCGCCTTCCTGAACAGGCCACAGGCTTCAGTGGGAAGTGCAGGCAACAAAAGGTAGGGAAACAGCATTTCATCTGAAGTGTCAGGCATCAATCCAGCTGTCGGCCCCTGTGACACATCCTGCACCCATGTCAGCAGTTTCCCTTTTTGTTCCACTTTAAAATACGGCTCTTCTGAGTCAGTGGGATTGTTCTGGAACCGTGACTGACTGAAAGCCAAACTGATACAAGCTTCTTCTAATTTGTGTTTTTTTAGGCTGTCTACAATAGATGAATCTGGCTCAATTCTGTCAGACATCAGCTTTGACAAGAGCGATGACTCACTGGTAATGTAACTCCATTTCTCAAGTTCTCCTCCCCTGTAAAGCCCGAGGGGAGGGGGTTGATCTCCAGAGACCCTTTGTGTTTAGATTACTGGGATATTAACCTGGCTGAGCTGATTTGCATTTCCGAGCCTGCTGTTGGCTAAAGTTTGATGAAAGCCCTGGCCAGGGGCTGTGTGGTATTTACCATTAACCAATGCTGTGTCTTTCCCCCAGGACTGGGATTCTTCGGTGGTGAAAGCTGTCAGGCTGAAGAGGCGAGAGAAGCGGGTATTGTTCAATTGTTCCTGTCACATAGTTTCCATTGTTCCCCCTGGCTGCCACAATGCCACCATCTGTCACCTCACAGCCACCTGTAGTGACCTCTGAGCCACTGAAAACAGACCTTGTGCTCCTACTGTGGGGGTTTAGATTGAAATTTAGGTCTGAAGTCATTTGTTTACTGAAAATAAGTGGAGTTTAGTATATCCTGTGCTGTTACAGTCTGGGGTTTGCAAGAAAACACTCGGAGATTATTAACAGCTCCCAGATTAGGGGAAAATGGTGTAGGAAGCTACATTTTTCTATTTTGTAAAGGAGCTTGTGCTCATTCTGCTTTAATCTGCAGAAGATACAGGTGAGAAAGAGCATGAAACCATCACCTAGTGGAGCTGGGAAGAGTCTGGGACTTGCTTAATTGCTGGTTTTTTTTGTGTGTAGTTCATGGGTTTGTTGGGGCTTTTTTGTCCTCCTTCCTTAGGTCCAGTTTCTTTTTTTTCTGATCTGAATGATGAAGCTGGCTAGGAAAATTATTTGAAAGAGTTTCACTAATTCTTCTGGCACCTCCAAGGTTGCCATGAAGCAGTACCCCTGAAGGACTTGTCAGCACACACCACAGATGCATGAAGTGTTCAGTCCTTCTAGCCATCCTGGGCCAGTGTAATGCCAAGTGAACAGCATTCCTGCTTTGAGAAAAGAATGTGCTCTCTTTTCAGCGCTCTTCCAGGCAGTTTGCTGAAGGCCCCCCAGCTCCTCAGAAGAAATCCAGATCTATCAGCAACACAGCAGACCAGGTATGGTGGTCACAGCTGGCTTCGTGTACACCTGGTCACAGTTCCTGCCTCTTTCCGGGGCCACAGCAGTTCTGTCACTGGTGTATTTGTCATTCCAGGCTAATGAATCCATAGTAGCAAAGACCACTGTGATGGTCCCCAACGATGGTGGCCCAATTGAAGCCATTTCTACCATCCAGACAATGCCTTACCCTCGGAGGAGCCGGAGGAAGAGTGGTAGGTGTAACATCCCTGTCCTGTCCTGACACATCTACACAGGTTATCCTGAAATGTTTGTTATTCCTGCCAGGACCTGGGAACTGCTTCTAATTTATGATGCTCATGTGTCTGGGGGCAGAGGGTGATTCCAGCCTCTTCCTCTTGTGTCTTCCAGGTCCTCTGCAGCCCTGGAACAGTGAGTCCAGCATAGGCAGTAAGCAGCTGGAGTCCAAGCTGGACACTGATGGCTCCAGCACCCCACAGCACAACGGGGGAGTGAGACTGCACGACTTTGTTTCAAAAACGGTGGGTCTACAGCAGGAGGAGCTTAGAAAAGCATCTCCTTCCTTCTTGAAATGTGTATGATAAGAGGCTGCCAGCTGTATCAAAGGAGGTTTAGGTTGGATATTGGAAAAAGTTTCTTCTCCCAGAGTGGAGGTTGTGCACTGAACAGGCCCAACAGGGAACAGGCACAGCCCCAGGGCTGCCAGAGCTCCAGGAGAGTTTGGACAACGCTCCCAGGGATGCACAGGGGTGGGATTGTTGGGGTGTCTATGCATGGCCAGGAGCTGCACTGGATGACCTCTGTGCCTCTCTTCCAATTCAGGCTATTCCATGATTCTGTGATTAGTCTCAGGTCAACATGACCAGTACCAGTTACCTGCATGTTACCCAGTTTAGTGCAGTGTAGGAACTCAGGAGGAATTAATCTCTCTCTGTGTTCTCTGGATCTCCAGGTTATCAAGCCAGAATCGTGTGTTCCTTGTGGGAAGAGAGTCAAGTTTGGGAAGATCTCTCTGAAGTGCAGAGACTGCCGGGTGGTGGCTCACCCCGAGTGCCGGGAGCGCTGCCCCCTGCCCTGCATCCCCACGCTGACGGGCACTCCAGTCCGCATTGGGGAGGTGGGTCTGTGCCCCGGGCTTGGGGCTGGCTACCAGAGGGGCCACCCCGGCTTGGGACTTGCTCAGCTCCAAGAATGCCTTCCCAGCGAAGCTCCTGTTGCTCAGAGCTGCATAATGACATGCAAATGAGCTTGCTAATGCATCGTTGCACAAGCAGGGAGGGGGTGTTAGGGGTGTAATGGTAGGAGGGCGTTGAGTGGGGAAGGTGGCAGCTCTGGGCAGCGTTGTGCTGATGGATGTGATGTTTCTTCATCAGTCCTTAGAAGAGCACAATTCTTGTTTTGAGGCCATAGATCTTGCTGTGAATTCCTGAGGGAGTATTTTCCATGTATTGGTGACTGAATCCATCTTTTTTTTTACTGTCCCTTCTGCCTTTTAGGGCACCTTGATGGATTTTGTCCCTTCTACTCCTCCAATGATCCCTTCCATCATTGTGCACTGTGTTAATGAGATTGAGCAACGAGGGCTGCATGAGGTAAGAAGAAAATGAGGTGTGAAACAGTATTAATGAAATGGGTCGTGGTGTTAGGGAAGCAAATTGTTAACCCAAATATCCCTTATTTATGGTGTGCATTGTGCTGCTTAGTGGGTGACTCGGTGTGGGGAGAAGGTGAGGATGGAAGAAAACCAATTGACCTCCTCCTCTGAGCCAAGCTTTGTGCCAACAGACAGGTATTTACCGCATCTCTGGCTGTGACAAGACTGTGAGGGAACTGAAGGAGAAGTTTCTCAGAGCAAAGAACATTCCTTTGCTCAGTAAAGTGGATGATATCCACGCCATCTGCAGCCTTCTCAAGGACTTCCTGCGCAGCCTGAAAGAGCCCCTTCTCACCTTCCGGTTAAACAAGACTTTCATGGAAGCTGCAGGTGAGGAACTGCTGCGTGACATCTCCAGCTCTTTCCTGAGGCTCAGTGGTTGTGGTTTTGCTGTCAAGGGAACCAGCAGGCCTTGGTGCTCTGTGGAGCCCTTGTGCCTGAGTCCTAGTTGGGCAGGATACAAGATTATTAGCACACTTGAGAAGTTTCTGGCCTCTTTATATCTCAGGGTAGCTGTGACAATGAGGGGAAAATTGTAGCTTCTGGGAGCACTTTCTTAGGTCTAAATATTATTTTTTCCTGCTAGAAATCCCGGATGAGGATAACAGCATCGCTGCTATGTACCAAGCAGTTGGAGAACTTCCTCAGGCCAATAGAGACACCTTGGCTTTCCTCATGGTCCACCTGCAGAGGTACATTCTGATGGACAGGGGGTGTGGGACCAGGTGATCTCAAAGGTCCCTCCTAACCCAAACCATTCTGTGATCTGAAAGGGGAAGGTTACCTCACTGGTGCTTTTTTTCTAATTGGGTCTGGTTACTGCTTGTGAGCATGAAGTCTTCATACTGGAACCAACTGAGAGGCTAAGTTTGTGTGGGACAGGGGACTTGTATCACGAGTGAAGGGGGGAAGCTACATTCTTTCTTAATTTCTTTTGATGCAGGGTGGCTCAGAGCCCGGACACTAAAATGGACATCTCCAATTTGGCCAAAGTCTTTGGCCCTACAATAGTCGCCCACGCGGTACCAGATCCTGACCCCATGACCCTCCTGCAAGACACAAAGCGACAGCCCAAGGTAGGACAAACCTTGATTTTCTCTCTTCCAGTCCAAACCATTCCACAATTCTGTGATCAGTGGCTCACAGGTGTCTCTGTAGGTTGTGGAGCGACTCCTGCTGCTGCCCATGGACTACTGGAGCCAGCTGATGATGGTGGAGCAGGAGAACATTGACCCAGCACATGTGATTGAGAACACCAACGCCTATTCCACTCCACGGACACCTGAGGTGCAAGGTAATCCTGCCTTCTGCTCTGTTACTAAAAACAACAACCCTCAACCCAAGCAGCCTGTGAGGCTCTGGGAGCCAGCCGTTCCTCGATTCATGGGGGCAGAGGAGAAAGCAAAGTGTGCCAAGAAATGCCAGATTTGTCTAGTGCTTTTCACAGATGCCAGGGAATGCCTGATGTTCCCTGTACAGCAAAGAAAACTTCAGCTGTCCCCACACTGTGCTGCTCTCTTTTGGCAGTGAGCATCCTGGGGCCTCTTACCACCCCGGAGCATCAGCTCTCCAAGACGCCCTCGTCCAGCTCCCTGTCCCAGAGGGTCCGCTCCACCTTCAGCAAGACCACCCCCAAGTAAGTGCTGAGTGCCAGGGGGTGTTGTCATGTTGTGTTTGGAATGACTGCAGGTGGTTTTGGGTGCTTTAGGAGAACTGAGACTTTTGAGGGCAGCCTGCACTTACTACTCAGTGAACCCTCCCTTAATCTGTGCTGTGGGAGCAGCAGATTTGGGTAACAAACATCCTCTGGTGTAGGGAGAGGAACATTGCTTGGGAGGTGGGTGAATGTTCCCTGGAAAAGGGAGAGTTGGATCTTCTGTGTCCAGAATTCCAAACTGATATTCTTGTGTTTATCTTGAATTAGATTTGGGAGCAAAAGCAAGTCAACAACCCAGCTTGGGCATCAGGGTAACTTCTTTGCCTCTCCTATGCTGAAGTGAAGACCTGGGAGCTGGTCTTGTCCTGGCATTTGCACACCAATACTCACCAGTAGAAGAAATACAGGCTGTCTCCGTGGCCCCTGGTAGCTTATATGAAATAATGTTTTGCCTTTTATCTTTCAGCTTAACTGAGACTTTTAATGGAATTTTATAGTGCAATTTATTTTTATTATCTAATGCTGTGCTGAATGTAATATTGGTGAAGACAGTAACAAGCAGGATTTGTTCAGTGTTAATCATTAAACTCTAGAGAATTGGCATTTTCACTAACATCTGCTTTTCTCCCTGTGTGAAGTAGAGCAGTCACAAAATGAGGGTTAGTTGGTTTTTAGGACTCTGTAGAATGTTCTTGGCACAGCAGTGTCTGAGCTTTGTCAGAATCCAGGCTTTCCATCAGCACAGTCTGTCCTACCTGGCCGGTGGTGCAGCTGCAATCCTGAGGATGGCAGTGTTGGACTGGGTTGGTGGGCAAAGTCTCTTCAAGGAACTGCCTGAGGGACTGTGGCTCCTCTGAAGGAACATTTCCTGGTCCTGTGTTTGCAAGGGGTGAATTCCCTAGAGGAGGGTGTAGATGCAAAACCAAAGGATTTCCTGGCTAGCCCAAAGGAATTAGTGCTGCTTGTGCTGGTGAGGGGAGGGAGGGTGGTTCAGTGGGGGTGGGAGTCCTACTTTTCCATGTCAGGACCTGGGACCTTGCCCAGTGCTGTGTGAAGACACCTGTGCAACACAAACAAATCTATCAAGTGGCTGTTTTTATTGAGCTTTGGAAAAATGTCCTGACTGTGCAACAGTTAAGTAAATTCTGATGTTTTACACAACCCATGGGTTTGTGTTCTCGTTGTGGTTTTAACTCGTGTATTTTCACCCAGGCATGTGTGGCCTCACTGGAGCCTGAGGGGCTGCTCTCTGAGGAGCTCCTGCCCCAAGGACTGATCCCAGCCAACTTTGCTGCTGGGGGCAGGATGCTGCCCTGGCCTGTGGCTCCTGGGTCCAGGGGACAAAGGAGGATGACAGGTTTGATCCCCACTGTGTTGGGAGGTGAAATAGCCTAGGGTGGGTGTGCTTGCCTGGGGTGTTTCTCTTTCCCCTTGATTGTGAGGTCTGGGGGGTGAAGTGTTTGCAGGGGGATATTTCTGGGTGTTTCAGACACACCAGGTGTACATGAGAGAGGTACTAAGGTGTGTTCTCCTTACCCAAATTCTGGTTTTGGGCACACTTGGTCCTTTCTTGGAGCATCTTTTCCCAGACTAGGTCCTTACCTGTTCCTCACTGGAGCAGATGTGTGGTCACTGTTGGTGGGACCTGCTGAGGGACATCTGCCCTGGTCCCTGAGGCACTGCTCTGTGGGGACAGGTAGGTTTGGGGACATCTGGGGAAGCCACTCCCACTTGGGTACTGCTGGGCACAAAGGTGATCCTGGCAGTGCTTGAGATGGGGGGTGCCCACCTGTGCCTGCAGGTAAGGACACAAATTCCAAGTGGGAAGGGTCTGGGGGGTGGAGAGTGAGGAGAGGGTAGATCTTTTTTGTTCCATGCTCTGGATGCTTCAGGCTGCAAGAAGACCACCAGCAAGGAGAAATCACACAGAGAAATATTTATTAATCAAAGATTTTTAAAAGCCTCAGTGTGGCTGCAGAAACAGGGATGAAAATGTCATTCCTGGTGGGAACCAGTACAAGAAAGCTCCTGGTTTATGTCCAGGCAGGGACAGGCATGCGTGTGCTTCTGAGGATTAATGCAGATAAAATCACCCCTGTGGGCTCCTTAATCAGCATCATTTAATGCATTTGGACAGGCCAGTGACCATCTGTGTCCTGTACAGGACTTCACCTTCATCATGGCTCCTCACTGATCTTGTGGAAGAATTCACCTGGTTCATTGCAAATGGTAGAATTCTTATAATTAACAAGTTGATTTCTCACATTTCCCTAATTGGCATTCAGTTCTGATCAATGGCAGCTCCAAGGGAGAGACACAAGTCCACAGCTGCAGAAGATTGTGCTCAGACCCTGTAAGACAAATTCTTCACTCTTGTTTTCATTCCCTCTGGGAGAAGCAGGACACAGCATCGTGTGTAAGGCTTGGGCATTTGAGTTACCCACGAGTGGGCCTAGATTTGACAGCCGAGCAATGGGACAGTGTGAGGAGCTGACCGAACCACCAGGTCCACGTGAGGGATGGGCCTGCTCTGCAGGGCCAGCCAGTCCTTTTGGCCTTCAAGCCTTGGGAAAAGTCATGCCCTACTCTCTGTGGGCTGATCCTCATCATCTAAACCGAGTGCAGCAGGTTCCTTGGGCAGTGCCGGTCGGCCTCTTGGAAGAAGTGGTAGATGGCGCTGGCAGCCTGGGTGTTACCCTTGCTCTTGTAGATGCCAGCCATCTTCACCAGCCTGCGCCCACAGTCCTGCCTGTGGTCTGTCTGCAGGGGAATGTTGTAACATTCCATGAACTTGGCTTTTGCCTTCTCCAGGGATCTCTCTCGGTAGAGGAAGTACTTTCCCCAGGAGCGACTCAGGGCTTGACGGCATCTGAGGCTCAGGGTGTTGATTTTCCTCTCCAGTTCCATGTAGATCTCTTTTTCCTTTGCTGGGTTTTCTGCACCAATGAACTCTGCCAACTGAAGCTTGGCAAGTGTAAGGTCAAGGTCTGGATGTGTCTTCACAATTTTCTGGAGGTCCTTGATGGCTTTACGCCGTATCTTATCCTTGTCTTCCTCCTTTGCTTTAACCCACTGTTGCTTGTAGCAGTTGGCCAGGGCCTGGTAGAGAAGATGGTAACCTGGCTCCTGCTGCAGGGCTCGCTGGATGATCTCAAGCGCTCGCTCTGTCGACCGTGGCATCCAGAAAAAAGCTGATAGTTTGAGGACCTCTGGGTCAGAGCTTTTCTCTGCACATTCTTTGGCCAAGCCAATTGACCTTTCTCCATCTACTTGTTCAAGTAGCCTGGCCAAATATATTTTGGCTTTGTAGTTATCTGGCTGCTCATTGACAATTCTTTCCAACTGGATTCTGACTTCTCTTTCAGTATCAGGTTGCCAGGAGGAATTCCAGGAGGAATAAAGAGCCATTGCAAGCCCAGTACGGAAAGATCTGTTCTGTGGTTCAAGCATCAAGGCCATGTTGAAGCACTCTCTTGCCCGTTCCCCGTTTCGGGCTCTGATAGCCAGGAGGGACCAGCCCTTCTGGGCCTGGATGTGCGGGATCAGCCGCACATCCCAAGGAGTTGGGCAGAGCTGCTGAACTCGTTCCAGGCAGGTTTCAGCCTCCTGGTAGGAGCCCTGAAGGTAATGAACCCAAGCATAATTCCCATAGATGACCAAAGAGCCAGCAGTAGATGCCAGCTGCTCCTCTTCCTTGTGTCCCTCAGCAGCTCTGAGGCTCTGCAGAGCTTCCTTGCTCTGGTTATTCAGTTGGTGCAGGTATGCCTGGAGCCCCAGGAGGGCCAGCTGGTTCTGGTGGGCTGTATGCTTGATCTCAACATCCAGCTTCTGCAGGAGATGCTGAGGACTGTGAGATTCAACACCCAACATCCAGGTGAAGTGACACTGAAGGGCATCCAGCTTCTCCTTCAGCTGCTTCTTGCTACAAAGAGGACACTGAGTTATTGAAGGGTGGACACTGGGATGCCCACCCTGAGCAGGAAGAGAGGAAGGGAGGTGGAGGAGAGACTTTCTCCAGTTGCTCAACACATCCCTTGCACTTGGGCTACTAAAGAACCTGCAAATGGTTGTTCCAATCGGCCCATTTCTCAGGGAGCTCTCTTTGAGCCTTGGAGAACAGAGAGCCAGGAATGGGGTCACCAGTGCTCCCTCACCTAAGGCAAAGGCCCTGGCACGGGTTGTAAAAAGGGACAGTAGAGCCAGCCCCACCCACACAGTGAAAACTTCTTCGCCTTCTATGGGGTTGTGTCTTCAGCTGAAGGGTGAAGAAACAGTTCAGAAAAGAGCCTCCAACAAGGTAAGGAAGATGTTAGACTGGTGTGTCTCTTCTGAGAGGAAAGGCTGAGAGAGCTTACTGCTCAGCCTAGAGAAGAGCAGGCTCAGAAGCACCTTGGAGCTGTAGAAATACTTGAAGGGAGAGTACAAAAAAGTGCCAGGCTTTTTTAGTGGTGCCCAGTGCCAGGGCAAGAACACAAACAAGCCCAGGAAGCTCCATCTGGACATCAGGAAACTTAACTGTGAGAAGAAGAAAAGCATTGCACATTTTTCCTGGATAGGTTGTGCAGTCTGCACCCTCAGAGAGACTCCAGAGCTGTCTGGATGCAGCACCTTGGACAAGGTGACTTTCAGAGGCTCTTTCCAGCCTTAACCGTGGTGAGGTTCTGAGCCAGGATGCTGTGCTGAGCCTTGTGCCCCCCACACGCTGAGGTTGTGGGAGCTATGACAAGAAGGAATGCTGTGCACTCACCTCAGTTTTGCTGCAGGCAACATTTCACTGTTGAGGAATGATGGCTTGGCTGCACCTTTTCCACACAGCAACAGATCCTGGGCAGGACAGTCTGTAAGCTAGGGACTGAGCCTTAAATAGGAAAGTTCTCTCCTGGGTGGAGTGACATGAAACCACTTATCTAGGATGAAACGAAACTGGGGGAGTTTAAACCAAAAATGAAAGTGTCCTCTTCCTATCTGGAGTTACCACCTGCCCTTCATAAAATGACACTGGGGAAGGAAGGGAACCCTGTGGTCAGAGCAGCAGGGGCTGGACTCCACCCTGGAGACCTTGTCCCTGCTGAAAAGAACTTTGGGGTCACAGCTTTTAGCAAATATCTGGTATAAGGTTATGGAGGATCAGAATGGAAACATGACATCACCATTATCAGCGATGAGCCAAAGGCTCCTTGTGACTCTGCAGGACTTTGTCCCCAGGGCTTGCCTAGATCTGCCCTTGCTGGAGTTTCTCACCAGCCTGTCACAGAAACTGCCCAGCAAAAAGGGGATGGGAACTGCAGTTGCACGGTTTTGTGTGAGGCACAGGTAAATCCCAATTCCTTCCCTAAGGAGCAGGAAGTGCTGACAGCTGAGCTGGAGATGGCCCCGGGGATATCAGCAACTCACCAGGAAGTCATTGCTGACCATTGAGATTTTGGCAGGTGACAGAAACCAGTGGAAGTGACAGAAAAAATACAGGTAAAATGCAGGACGTGTGGTACGTCTGGGTGTAACGGGGGATTATAGCCCTGGGAAGAAAGATCCCAGTGGAGAGAATAGCAGAAAATGCATTTTAAAAGTAGCTTCAAGTAAACTCTAGACACAGAAGGAAGAAACCACCAGCCTTGGAATCATATTCCTCCCAGCAAAGAAGAAAAAGCCCATCACTATTTCCCCCTCAGGATGCTGATGAGTCACTGCAGCAGCGCAAAGGAAGGAGGAGAATTTACTGCTGGAGGAGCGGGATAGATGCTTTTATTCCATGTGTTTACTTTTTTCTGTTGCTGACAACCTTTAATAGAAAATGAGTAATTTGGCTATTAGTGTTAGCACTGCTGGATGAACAATGAGTGATTGCTCTATCTTGATTAGGCTGAAGCATTAATTAGACAGCGGGTAACATCTAATTCTTGAATCTTCACATCAGCATCTTCTTTCAGCATCTTTCTGTGCATTTGGGCTTGACCAAGCTGCTTCTCTCTTGCCTGAGGTGGCCAGGATGGGGCTGTGTGAGTTGGTGCTGGGCAGATGTTTTGTCTTCCTGGGCTGGGGCAGAACTGGCAGCATGGAGGAGAAAATTCACTGCTCAAATCCCTGAGGCCTTGACAACAGTTCTTGGCTACTCCTGCTATTATTAGGGCTGGTTTGAGGATGATTACAGTTTTGTGCAACATCTATTAATACCATACAAAGCTTGGATGGAAGTCAAAAATAACAGCAAATGAGAAAGCTACCAACCAGCAGCCAAATAGGAAGTACAGGCAAGGCTTGGTGTGAAAGATAAATGGTGGGAAGGAAAAGCAAAAGAGCTGCAATGAGATGCAGAGGAAAAAATAATACAAATATTTTTGTTGGTGGTTTGAAAACAGTCCTTGGCTTAAAAACATTGTTACATCAAATAACACTGAACGGATTTTGAGCTGATTTGAAAGGAAATCCTGGTTTATTGGTCCAGAAAATCACCTGCTTGTTATAAAGTTCCTTCAGCTGATTCTAGGCCACAGGGAAGGGGCTCTGGACCACCAGAGCGAGCTGCAACATGGAGCAGGAAAGACAGAACCTGGAAATGCTGCTCTGCAAACAGTGCCTGCAGTGTTGGGAAGCTTCAAGAAGCTCCATCTGAGTAGCCAAAGCCAGAACTAAAAATACTTTGAGGTGTGGCTGCAGAATTTCCCTGCCACGGTTTGAGTCCCGGCTGAACATCTCTTAATTGTCTGTAACTTCCTTACTGGCATTCAAGTTCAGGTGAGGCTCCTATGAGTAAGAAGACAGGTGACAAAAAGGTGTTTTCTGTTTGTCACAGTTTCTATTGCACCTTTCCAGCTCACATTGGCTGCGCTGCTCCCATGGGGAGTACAAACCTCTCTGGAGAGAGTGGGAAAAGCAGACTATAAACATTATAAATCTTTAACCCTTAAACCCTTTCACAGAGGTGTTTAATTCATGGCTTTGTACAAATCCCTGGCTGAAAACCTGGGGTCTCCACTGCCTGGAAACTTGAGGAGAGAATCCTTTGCTATCAAGGTGCTGAAAGCCTGGCACAGGTCACCCAGAGAAGCTGCGGCTGTCCTTGGATCCCTGCAAGTGTCCAAGGCCAGGCTGGATGGGGCTTGGAGGACTCTGGTCTGCTGGAACCATGGCAGGAACATGGAACTATGGATGATTTTTTAGGTCACTTCCATTGTAAACCTTTCTATTACTTCAGTATCTTTGATGAGACCAAAACAGGTAATGTTTCTCCTAGAAAAGGGCTTTAGGATCTTCAAAAATGCCCATCTTCCCCTCCTGTCTGTTTGCTGACAATCTCTCCTGAGCACGGGTGCTGCTGCGGGACTCGGTGCCAGCAGATGGCAGAGGCTCCCCACGGATGACCCTGCTGGGTTTTTGCAGTGCCGTTCTCCCCCAGCCTGTGAAACAGAGCGATGCTTTTGCACCACTTTTCGATTTCTGCCTCGCAGCTGGATTCTTTTTTAACAATATTCCAACCCCACTCCCCTTTGGATGAAAATATCTATATTTGGGAAAGAGGTGGTTTCCCATGGAAGAAAACAGAGCAGGACCTTAGAGATCTCCCTGGGGAGTGTCCTCATCCTTCTGAGCTGAGCAGGACCCAAGGGAAGGGCAGCATTTAAAATGAAAAAGAAAAATATTTTTTATGTAATATAGGCAGAAGCTGTGAAACCAATATTGTTGCCTCGCCACAACATTTGCTCTCCTTGTTTCCAAACGCTTTGGATGTGCAGCCTCTGTGCACACCCTGGTTCTGCCTCACTCTGGTAGAGGTGCTTGGATCGACTGATTCCTCTGGATAAAGGCGGCCTGGACTTTCTGCATCGCACACACCTGAGAGCTGGGTGACCACCAGAGCCTGGATTGCTGCTGTGGGGTGACACAGGGAGCTCTGGCTGGAGCTGGCAGGGAATAGCTGCACTCCAGACACTCCTGCTTTCCCCCCAAACCTGACAGGGGATGCTTGTGATGCTTTTCTCTCCTGGGCAGCTGCTCAAGCAGAAAACAGAGCTGTTGTGCATTTCAAACACCTTCCCGAAGCGCTTTTCTCTCCTGATTTAATCCATCTCTAAAACCATGAGGCTTTGCCTGCCTGTTTACAGCCGGGTGAGGCAATGAGGTCACTGCAGAGGCTTGATCAGCATGGGAGAAACGATTCCAGGGAGCAGAGCGCAGATGATAGCGAGGGGTTCGGTTAACTCCTCGCCATCCCCAGCACCCAGGGTGTGTCTGGAGGGGCTGGAAGACACTGAGATACCAACGGCCTCCCCTGGCTGCTCAGGGAGGGCAGCTTATCTTCCAGAGCAAAGCCTTCCCTGTTATCAGCACCCCAGAGACACTCAACTGTCTTCCAACTGCTCTGATGGGGTGATAAACCCGGAGCATTTGCTGCTCAGCCAGGCTGGGAAGCTCCAGAGCACTCAGGGCTCATCTGGGGCAGGGAGAACAGCAAAACCCTGGTGGGGAGCATTGGGAGAGGTTGGGATGTTCAGAGTTGTGAACTCTCCCTTTTGATCCAGCTCCTGCCCTGTGAGGGGCTGTAACCTTCACCCCACCTGGGAGCGAGAAAAACTCAGGAAGTTAAAAAAAAAAAAAAAGGCAGTGAAAATTCAGAAGGAATTTCTTTATGGAAAGGACGGTCAGGCATTGGAAGGGGTTGGCCTTCTGGAGGTGTCCAGGGAATGAGTGGATGTGGTACTCAGTTCTCTGGTGGGGATCAGGCACAGCTTGGTCTCAGAGGCCTTTTCCAACCTGAGTAATTCAGGGATTCTGTGTGAAACGCTGGAAGTGGCTCCTGCAGCTCCGCTTGGAGCAGTCCCAGAATTCAGACACTCCTCAAGAGTGGTTTTGCAGTGGTTGGAACATCCAGGACCTGCTCAATCCTTCCAGGGGACTGGGAATGGTTCAGCTCAGGGTGCAGAGAGAGAAGCCACTCTTTTTTAATCTGTTGTTAACTCCAGAAATTAATCAATGATCTGACCAGGCCCCACCAGGAGAAGATACAAGAGAATCCATGGGATTTTCAATGTTGTTACCTAATGAAAGCCAGAGCACAAGAGAAAATCAGAATTTCTGGTCCAAAGGCATGTGGCCCTGCTATCATGGCATAAACGTAATGAAGAATTGCAGTGCTCAGATTTGATAAGATTGCAGCAGCAGCAGTTCTCACTGGTAATTAACAGAGGAGTTTCTGTGTGTGGAAGGAATCTGTGGATCTCAGTTGCTCTCCAGACAAGAAGCTGATGGAGGGTGATGCCAAGAAGGCTGAAATGTCAAAACTTCAAAGGGTGATGGGTCAGATGAGGGTTATAACTGAGAGAGGAGAGAAATCTCAGTGCAGTAAGGAAAAAACAGGGTAGAGATGCACTAGAATTCATAGAATACTTTCAGGTAATTTGGGTAAGATTAAATACACTCAGCAGGTGCCAGAAAGCCAAGAAGGGAGCCTTAACCCAGAGAGGATGGAAAATAGTCAAGGAAAAACGCCAAAGGTTTCTCTTAAAACAGAGGCTGAAGATCAGAGAGAATTATGTGGTGTTGGGACTGGGAAAACAGTGGAACAAGCACTTAAACGCGTTGTTTGTCAGCGCCACAGAGAATGAGAAATTGCAACGGTAATTGGGCAAGATCCAACCATCCCAAGCAAAGATAATTGAGCTAATTTACATCTACAACGATGTTCTGAGCGCTGTGCTCCCAGGAGAGGCTGTAAATACATAAAGTTTTATGGCTTTTGATACTGTTCCATATGGCCCATGAGAAAGAGAAAGAAA